CAGTGTTACATATTACAGTGAGGTTAATGTAAAAAACAATGTCACTGAAATCAATTAGTTTTGTCCGTTTTTTTCCCTTTAAATGCCTGTCATTGAGTTTTATCTTCTCATGCTCCCCTGCCTGCAGTGCCGCTGTAAGTCCATAATTTTGCAGAGCTTAGCCTGATCCCTAATCAGGCCATTGAACACCACTCACCCTCTGGTGACTAATCCCTTTGTTCTGTCAATAAAGGAGCACCTGTTAATAGTGTCCTCAAAACATACACAATATAAAATGAAGCAGTAAAATTCAAATTGTGAGACAGATATGACTCCTGTAACCGGGCCTTTCCAACCTCTTTCTTCCTTTTTTTGTGTGTTTTAACTGTCTTGCATGTGGCTTTTGTGTGGCGCCGCAGACTCATAAGAGCTGTCTTCACAGAGCCCTACCCAGACCCAGTTGTTAAAGGACTAATTGTGGAGATTGCCCCCTCAGATTTCTCTCCTCTCTTTCACCTCGGGCATTTGTTCTCCGGCTCTAAGCCTTGAATGGGACGGCGGTAAAGTAGATGTGAATGTTAAATTAGGCGAAATTAATTAAAGCAAATTACTTTGGAATATGTGGCAGTCAGAGGAGAGTGTCAGCTGATGACTAAATAGTGAGTGATCAGCTGCTCCTGCTCTGTGAAAGCCTACTTCACATTTTGATTTATCAGCTTTTTATTGGCAATGCATAACAATGGTTAGAAACCGGTGATCATTATTTAAAAAAAGTAATAAATGTGTTTCGAAATGATTGTGCTAGCTTTAGGTGTTTTTGTCACATTTACTGATATACAGTCATACATCCTGATCCCATTAACAGTGATTTATTCGGATCATGAGTGTTTTATAAACCATGAAAACCTGTTCTTCGCTCCTCATTAATATACACTAAATTAAATAACAGACTCTTATGAATCTTTACATTTGAAACACAGAACTGTACATCATAATTGTTTATAGTATATGTATATTCTAGCAGCTAACAAAATGATTACATTGCATTATATTTTCTGAGTTCATGCAGACAATAGCAAATTTTCCTTCCAATCAGTGATGAACAGGGAGCTGGTAAATTGGAGCAGCAAAACAATAATTCCACTGATTAGCCCCTTTCTGTGCGGCGTAAGTGAACTGTTTATACTGTGGAGTACCCCTGCAAGGGGAAAGGAACCAAAACAGCCTGATTAGGCAAAGAGTAATTGGATAAGTTCATTTCACCATGAGGACAACGCACAGGATGACAGCTTGCAGAAAAGTCTATAGCTTCTGTCGACTCGCATGAGTAATAAGGACACTGGCAGACGATTTCTTGATTTCTGTCACTTTTGTTGTTTGGATGTGACTGATGAGTGATGATAGATTCTAAAAGCCCTGTAGTTTAGTTTAATCAAGTATGTTTCCCTTCGTAATACAGTAGAAGAACAAAATACATTAGAGGGTCTGTCTGTGGAAGATCACAAAGGGCTTCACATTGATTCAGTTTACAACTATAGTGTCTCAGAAAACACTCAAGAGATTGTTTCAGAGGCAATGGTTCCTTTAGTGAAAAAGACTGAGAGTCTGCAGATTTGCGTTTCAATGGTAATTTTGGATTGGAAAACTATCCTGTAACTATTCTTACCGTAAAAATGTGAGCTCCATGTCAAACAGGATCCATATTTCGTCAGTTTTGCCCAACGGGTTACCAACTAGACACAACCATTGCTAGCAAGTCTGTGAAGCTGCATTTGCTAACATCCAAAAGCCAAATGCTAACATCATCAAGCTAACATGCTAACGGTGACAATGCTAACATGCTGATGTTTAGCAGATCATGTTTACCGTCTAAGTTATCGCATTAGCTAGCTAGTTATGGCAACCATTCAATAGTGGTTCACTCATAATTGAACATCCTAAACTAATGCAGGCCCTAAAGATCAGGGGTATTCCGAAGTTATTACAATTCATCCTCTGGGCCCAGGAGTTCAAAACTTTTAATCTCAATCAGATCCGATCCGATTTTGAAATCCCATTTTTTGTGATCCAGGATCAGACAAATCGGCCAGATTTTGTCCCTGGAGTTCAAAGCAATTCAGGATAGGATCAGCCTGATCCAGATTACGATTTTTCAAGATGACTAGATCCTGAATATCAGTGCTTTAATCCTACCGATCGCCATCTAGTGGACATGAAAAAGAATACAAGGAAGACAAGAGACCACATTGCAGAGACATCTATAATGTTTAATTATATTTTTTTATTTGAAAAGTGATGACAGATGATTGACTTTTTTTTGTTGAAGATATTTTTACTTTAATCTAAATTACATTTGTGAATGACAATCTTTGCTGTGATACTTTAATGAGCATAAACATTTATGTCATCAACATTTGGTTGAAAACAAAATAGGCCACCACAAAAGTGAGCAAAAATGGAAAAAATAAAATGTATTTCCCATGAAGGCTAAAAATAGTGTATTATTTCAGTTCACAAACTTTGCCATCTTATTTAAATTGAAACATATTTTAAAATAAATTGTACAGTACATTTTGCTCTGGCAATCCACTGGAAATCCACCCCTTTGGTGAGATCAGGATAATCCAGTTTTTTGGGATCAAACTGATCCCAATCCTGTGTTGTCGGTTTGAACTACCCATTTTGAAGATTTGATCCAGATTAAAGCTTGGATTGGATTTCCTGATCTGATCGGATATGAAAGTGATCCTAACCCCTGGGGACCATGAATGTCTGCACTAAATTTCATGGCAATCCATTAAACAGTTATAATAGTTATGTAATATTTCAGTCCGTACTAAAGTCTGACGGACTGATATTCACACCCCTTGAGCCATGGAGCTAACAAACACTCAATCTTGTTAGTGAAAGATTTGGCTTCCTCTGATGACAACTACGACATGTATTTTGTTAGTGAAGAGGCATAGGATAACTTTGATTTATACTTGACTCACGTGTCTGATAACGTTATGCATAATAGAGCTCTGCAAAGATTTCCCTCAGATATGCTGTTGCCTAACATGACAACACAGCTGTGAATCATCAATATTTCCAGCATGTATCACTGCTAGAACTTGTTGAGAGACAAGGGGACAGCCGCCTGATGAATTGTGCAGATCACTTCGGTGACGTTATTATCTCACAGGGCTTCACCTGTCAACAGACCTCCGCTGTTCAGGTGTCAAAACATGAATATGGATTGTTTATTCTGTTAAGAGACTTCACCGTGCACATTCCAAACATAGCGTCCTTCGACTTCCACTTACCTGTTGAATGAGGTGGCATTCCCATTATGCCAAACTTCACGAGTCTCTGTTGATTGATTTACAAAGCGGTTGAAGCCAAATTCCAAGTCCAAAAATACTTGATGTAGTATGTAGTAGTATGTAAATCTAATATGACGTTTCTCCAGTAGTGGAGCAAATCTACAAGTTTGAGTTATTGTACTTTACTAGAATATTTGACTTCCATGCAACCTTGTACTTCTACTACAATATAGTTCAGAGGGTGTATAGTTTTTCTCCACCACATTTATTTCACAGTTGTTTCACAGATTGAGGATTAACATTCAACACATGATGAGCTTTAACGATATGATAAACTGTTGTGGTTGTATACATAAAACATAAAATATGTAACATTTCAGCATCTGCCAACCACCTAAACTTATGTTGGTTGAGATATGTTTATTATACCGTTTGCAACAATTTTCAAACCTATACAAAAATGTGTAATTTTATTTTCATTTGGTAGATGTAGGCAACACAAACACTATGTGCATTGTCAACGTTGTTGTTATCTTCTACATTTTCATACTACACTTTTTAGATATTGGTTGTTTTAAACCATATATTTTACCCATCTGGATCAGAGAAAAAACCTGACTATATGTTAGGAGAAACCAAACAGCTTTTGAGTTACGCTGAAATTTAAAGTGAAACCTCTGAAGATAATAAGTAATTATTTGGAAAACCTCCATAAATGACTAAATAAATGAATCCTAGAGAAGCTGATGATCTCCATTAAACTCTATCTTTTCTTATTAAAACATTGCACATTATGTGTTTGAATTACATTTTTATGCAGTACCTATACTGTAGTATTGCTACTTTTACTACACTAAAGGATCTAGATACTCCACAGCTGATATGCTAATCTCCCTTTTATTTGCATACAATATGATTTCGTAAAACAAATTGTACAACAACAGGTTGGGTTGTAAATAAACATATTGCAGTCCACTACAGTTGCCATTGGTGATGTTAAAGGCTGTCACTCTCATGTGACAGATGTACCGCCCCCCCCCCCCCCCCCCCCCCTCTCTTACCCCCTCCCTCTGCTGGAGAATCAGGGGTCCTGAGAGCTGCTAAATGGTCTGCTTCAGAGCCTCATTACCTAATCACCAGCACCGCCAAGACGGCTAAGACGCAAATGATTAGGGAAGACTGTCATCTGCCATCTATAAATGTGGACGTATTTCTCCGAAATCATTCTCACTTTTGTTTATTTTTGATATATATTTTTCTAATAGTTTTAACAGAAGGGTAAAATATGCATGACCAGACACTCAGCACTTCATGCAGATTGACACACAAGCCTGTTTTGCTGCACTTAAAGCCCCTTTTAAAGGAACTTACTTTGACACTGTAAGCCGGTTTCTTACAGCTCTGACACTTTCACACGACAAAAAAATATGTAATATATTCCTAAGTATTTTATTGTATTTGTTATGACTTTCGTGTGACTCCCACTGTGCTTGTTCATGTAGATGTTTATTTCTTTCCCATATTCTCTGCAAATAGCTAATGATTTTTTGTGGCAAAATCAAACCGCTGTTTCACATTCGATCTGAAGAAGTCAATGTCATTGATCCTGTGGCTCTGACGGCTTCTATATGTGTTCATGTAAAGCGGTGTTGCTGCTGCCAAAAAATAATAATTCTATACTGATGCTCTCTCTGTGTTTGTGTCCTTTCTCTGCAGGTGCTTTTGAGGATGAGGATATCCTCCATGTTGAGGGAACAGTGGACCCAGTGAGGGATATGGAGATCATCCACGAAGAGCTGAGGCTGAAGGATGAGGAGATGATCGGCCCTATTATTGACAAGCTGGAGAAGATGGCCATTAGAGGCGGTGACAAGAAACTCAAACCAGAATATGTGAGTCAATGTCCCAGTAGGCCCTTTGCTCCCCCTCACAGCAAGGCACAAATAATAACCCTCCCACACACATGGCAAAGAACAAAAAGTATGTTTTTTTGTAATCTCCCGCAATAGGTCTCACCCCTCCCCCTGCCCCATTTTTCCCTTTCTGCGATTGAAAGTGATCAGGGGTCAGGGGTTTTCTGCTGTAGAAATCATTAATAGGGAGTTACTTATTCAGCTGCTGACCCTGGGTCACAGCACTGGGCTAATGAAAGTGTTTCCACACAGCTCTTTTCATCTTAAGTAATACTCAAATCATGGCAGAGCTCTCGCTCATGCTTATACACCTACAGCAGCTCAGAAAATTGTATAAGGCCATACAGTGGGTGACATATATACCAATACCTGGCTATGAATACCGTAAATGTTTAGAATATTCTTTGACAGCAGATTCCTCGGTCATATGCAGAGAGGTGCAGGGCCAACTGCAAGGTAAGATCAGAAAAAAGATCACATCCTGGATCAAAATGTATGTGGAAGCGCACGCATTCAGATGGTGGTATTGTTAAGGTAATGAGGCTGAGCTGACAGTGTTAGCAATGATTTGGTTGTAAATGTCTCATGATGCACTTCTATCTTCGGAGCAGGATAGGATGGGCTAAACACGAGAGGGGATCTGGCCTTTCACTCGGAGCGGCATGCCCAATTTCAGGCCCCGGCACACCGAGGCTCTGACCACTCATTACACTAACGAGAGGGGCTTTTTCACCTGCTGCAGAGGCCCCGTGTCTGGTTGGTTCCCCTCAGACTAAACCCCCCCTTGCAGCAAACAGCACTTCCCCACACCCCTGTAGCCACACAGACAGGAGCCATTCAGGCTAGGCAGGTGGCCGCTTACGCACATAATTGCTAACAATTTTAGGCAATGAATAAAAATGATACATTACTTGTCAAAGGTTGTGCACACGTCGGCAAGTGAAATCTATAGAAAACCTCTTTAGACGGCAAAGAATGGTGCTTATCAAAGGCTGCAGCGAGCTCTTAGATGGGAGGGATTGTGTGATTGTCTCACAGGCTGCGTCTGCCGTTTGACACGCTCAGCTGTGCACAGACATACATACATGTTTATGTAAGCATCTATATGCAGAACATGTGGATGAAGAAAATGTACAGTATAAATGAAAAAATAGTGTGTGTACTGTCTTCTGTAGAGCCACAGCATGCTAAGAAATAAATGGGAAATTCTAAGAAGATGGTGATTACTTTAAGACTCCTTAGATTTTTTCTATTTACCAGTAATCTGCAAGACCTTTGAAATAAGATCTAATTTAAGTTTCCCATAATCTACAGGTCTTTTTGTAGCCGGGATTTTCATGAGCAAGAACTGCTTTTATTCCAATTATACTGAATTTACAATATTATGTTACCATTTCGATATCTGCGTATTGTCAGGATGTAATGCAAGCAAAACGTCCATTCACATTTATAAAGCTGGATCAGTGGACATGTAGTTTACATGAATACTATTTTCACATTTATATAAGAGGAAGCAAAGTAAGAAGTAAGTAGTCCTTACTATGAATTAAAAACAATTAAAATAATATACAATTCTTATGTAATTATATTAAAACCACAAAAATGTCCATGTTGCAAATCATAAAAATGAAGGTATTTAAAAGAGCTTTATTCAGAGAAATGTAGGCATTTTAATCAATTCCCTTTATATTTTAACTACTTAATAGTAACAATTTAACTTACCATATTTCTCTGAGAGGGAACTACTATTTATTTTAGTATCTAACTTTGCAGTACAGTATAATACTTTGTACACATTTTTGGGGAATTTGTATTTAATCCCTGCATAAAGAGAATGTGAGAAAAAAGACAATACATATAATAAGTAATAATGTTTAATACTAAAACTTAAAAGGATACCAGCCAGCGATAGAATGCTGTTAAATCAATTGGCAAAATTAATTAAAAAAATGTCTGTGAAGATTTTATAGGTTTGACTTTTCATAATGTATTGCTGCCACACTCACTTGAAGATTTTCTGTTTATAAAAAGGGATTTTGTAAGAAAAAAAACAACCAAATCAGACATTTTGAATTTATTGTAAAATAGTATATTCTGGTTAAAATATGTTGTCTGGATAAAAAAGTGACAGAATATTTCATTGTGAGTTTCAGGTGAATGTGTGTGCATACAGCAGCACGGGGCTCATATGTATGCATTGTTATGAAGATTTAAATGCATTCTGCCTGTGCTGTGTTTACAAGAACATTGTTTCATTGCTTTTGTCCGTGTGAATCCTCAAAATCCCCCACCTTACAAAACAATAATAAGAAGCCGGCCCACCAGCGGCGTTTCATGGTGGCAGGCATATGTGTTTGACCCCTGTGGGACCTATATGCCTTTTATTAACACCTGCCTGTTAGAGCAGCGCTGCACGGCGGCTGCGAGCTGATGAGGGAAACCTGGAGCGGGTTCAGCCTGTGTCACTGGCCGTTTGCTGTTTCCATTTCACAGATGATTAATCTCTCTGTGAAGACTTGGGACGGCGCGGGCGGAGTGTATGCAGCTCTTCCTGCGCTCTCTCCCGCTGGCTGCACTCTGGCTGCCTGACTAAAAGGCCTTTAGAATTCCTGTGGAGAGAGATGTGCAGAGAGTGAATGCAGCTGGCTGGGGGTCAGTGTGTGGAGCTTTTTCTGCCATTGTGTAATTGAGGCTCTGGCAGGATTTTTTCCTCAGTTCTTTCAAAAGGGAGTATGATTGTGAAGTGCTGCAAGGGTTTGGGGAGGGAAAAGGAGGTAGAGGGAGTGTTGCAGGGGGTGGGGGAGTTTTTATATGAAGGGGGAGGTCAAGTTGACAGGAACAAAAAGAATGTGTTCCGCTAATTTCTTTGGGGCTGGATCAACAATAATAGGCTCAATTTCTTTATTACAAATTTTATAACTACCTCCCTCCCATTTTCCCACCCTTTTCCGCTTCCAGATCCTGTCAAGGCCCAGACTTGCCTGTGGTCTCAGCCCACAAGTACTTGAGTAATGAATGTGGCATACATAGCTGGAAATGCTCAATATTTTATCCAGAAGAAACAGTGAATAATTAGTTCTGTATCTCACTAGTGCTTATTCAGTATGACTGCGTTCTGCTAAGTGCCTGAGGAAGGACTAATAATTCACACCTAACTAACCAAGTTCCAATTAGTTCCCCGCTCTTTCCAATTTAGTCTTCTCTCTCTATCCTTTTCATTAAACAGTCCCGAAGGAATTTTGATGTTCAAAACTGTGACTCTAAGCGAGACACCCCAGAAGGCATTTTGTCATGATTTAAAGGAGGGAAGGGGGTCTGGTGCATGCCATCCCTGTCAGAGCCAGGCCACTGCTGCTTGAATGCGAGCACAGCCATTGTTCATTTTGGCATCAGGATGCCATGCATTTAGGAAATAATTACCCCATACCCTGCTGGGTTTATATTCTTTTTCATCTCCTTTAATGGCTTCTTGTTCATTCTCTTTTAACCCCAAACAGGACGTTACGTGCAAAATCAAGAGCTGGGTTATAAATGAAAAAGAAACACGTCCGCTACTATCACGATTGGAACGTCAAGGAGGTAAGCCTTTGATGTTGCAAATGTATTATTGTGATTTATCTTGATAATCTTTTCATCTGACCTAAAACAATAACACTGCTGTTTCCTCCTCTTTTCCCTCAAAATCAAAGGTAATATTATGCACAGTCTTTTGTTAATTTAATTTTTGACATTACTTTTGTACAATCTAAGGACATCTGGCCGTGCTGATCATAATCTGGTGGCTTTAAAGTCGCTCCCCACCGTGCCTATACACCAGACCCTGATTTGATTTGGCATCACTTATCTCTGTCTGTTCTGTCCTCAAAGGCTGCTTTGGGAAGTTTGGATTCTCAGTACTTGTCCTGTCTGTCTCTGCACAGATCGAAGTGTTGAACAAATACTTGCTTTTGACATTGAAACCAATGATTTACCTCGTTAACCTCTCTGAGAAAGACTACATCAGGAGAAAGAACAAATGGCAAGTGCCTGGAAGAAAGGCGGGAGCCGACTCATTCCATTTATTAATCATCACCTAAGAGCTTTTCTGCGACTTATGTAAGGATTGATTTAGAATAACTTTGATTGAATCTGCATTTCAGCTACAAGAAGTGTGTGCGCATGTGTCTGCATATTCGTGAACTGGAGTGTGAGAAGTGTGTGTGTGAGTTAACCTCCCTGATCTACTGACTGCGGTCTCCTGCTGACAGAAAGGGTCATAATGTGTGATAATGTGTGTAATAACTGTGTGATAGGATCTGCCTGGAGGTGGCACTAAGTGTGCCCGAACACAACACCTGCAAACCCCAACCAGACACTGCACTTCATTAAGCGCAAACTAGCATATGGTCTCCATTTTCTTGCAAAGTTTGACATATCATATGGAAGGCTTTAAATGACAAAAAACAAATGTGTACATTCAAACTCCGACACGTAATTAATGTTGTGTGGAGAGAGCCAATAAATCACAAGGGTTATACTCTTTGAACATTTATCTATCTATAACTGTTTTGGCACAAATATGTTCACAATATTCACATGTTGATTACAAAAAGCTGATTACAAAAATGTTTTTAATGCTAACAGGGATTTCCTCCTTTTTCTCTACAGAATCAACACACTTTTAATACTAAACTTATTTTCTGTGTCTTAAGCTCTGTCCTCTCAACAACACTGTTGGCCACAGTGAGAGCAGATCTTGAAGGCTGGTGTTAGACATCCATTATATCTGAAAGGGCTACTTTTCAACACTCTGGCCCATTTGTCAATAGCACCAACTTGTGGATTGTTATCGCACTTTTCCAATTGCCCTCTAGGCTTGTGGTGTCAGTTCTTACAAAAATTATTTCTAGTGTTTTGCTTGGCAGCGTTGTATTACAAGGGAAGTTGTTTACCTATGACTTTTTGTGAGAATGTGTCGACACGAAAGTATGAGTGTCAGACAGAAGGAGGGGGAAGAGAAGTCGTAAATCAAATGATTCATGGCATGTGGAACACCCGTCATCGGTAGGAAGAGGTTGTTTTTTTCATGTTGCGTGTGTGTGTTTTAACTGTGTGAAACGCAATAAATCTTAGAGCGTTTTAAACAGCCAAACACTAGTGCTCAGGTGTCCTCAGGGCGCCACGATGAACAATGCTGACTTCAAAGTGTTGATGTTTGACAAGTGATGAGTCACTTCCCTTGTCCAGAGAGGAGCTCACACCTGTATGGAGATGATTACAGGTAGATCTAGCTGGCCCTAATTGTACAATAAATGCTGCTCTCAGCCCTAATGGCAGCTAGTCTGCAGCAGAGACGCCAGACTGCCATTTGGCTGTCGCCATGCTCCCGTGTTTTTCCACCAGCATAGTTGAGATGATGATACGGTTAAGGACTATTCAAAGCAAACAGCAAGACAAATTGCAATCTCAGCTTTAATGTGAGGAGGAAAATAGGGTGAATCCTAGAATGAGGCAAATAAGCCAATCTCATCTGTGTCTCTCAGGACATCCATTCAAGCCATTTCACAGGTTCCGTTTTTTTAAGTACTGTTTTATATTCTAGGTTTGTTGTTCAGTGAATGCTGCCACTCAGGCTGTTGGCTTATGTTATTTATTTCAATACAACACACTTTATTTCCTGAGTTTAATGCATGTGTATTAATTTAACAGACACTCAATTGCAGGTTGTAGACACACAAGTGATTATTGCGGTAGCTTTTGTCTCATGGGAGATTACAGCAGTTTTATCAAATGGTTTGAGGCTCCAAAAACAGTCCATTGTTAGCCAAGATCATCCTGTTTGGAGTATGGGAACCACATACCAAGCTGCCCTTGTTTAGACAAGAATACACAGTATTAGCTTTAGCGAGCCATCATTAATGGAGGGATCAGACGAGGAGCAAGGCCTCCTTTCATCCCCAGGTTCTCTGCTGGAGACAGTACATCATTTACTGTTGAGAGGAGCACATGGCTCCAATCCTATACAGTGTATGTGTATGTGTATGAGAATGCGTTCATGTGCATGTTTGAAGTCTGTTTCAGAGGCGACTCCATGCTCATTTGGATGCTGGCGTAATTGCGGTGTGGAGATCAAAGGCTCGCTGGCCGAGTGATGTTCCCGAGGAGACTTTACCACACAGCCCTCTCCTCTGTGCAGAGGGGGCCGCCTGCTGCTCACCGCTCCCCTCTCCCCTCTAACCATGCACTGCCCCCTGCACATCCCCGCTCGTAAAAAATGATTAAGGCCGCATTTGTCATGTGTTTATGACTGAGAGGCATTGCGTGATAGGGAATGGCATCTACAAGAGTCTATCAAGAGCTTTCTCCTCTTTCCTCGGCGTCAGTGAGCTGCGTGGAAGACTTTCTCTCTGTGCCACATGCCGTAGTTGGTGTGTTAGAGAGGGTCATTAGAGCACTGTTGATGATGTGGTGGTCTGCCCAGTGTTACTGTGTTTTCACTTGTCAGTTAACTTATTGTTTGTTTTACAAGCTTGTGGCCTCACCATCTTTATCAGTCTTTATTCATTTAAATAGCTTCAATATCAGATATGTATTCAATCCTCCTCAGAGAACTAAGCGCAGTCTTATTTTGCAATGGTAAAAAAAGCACAATGGAAAATACTCCAGGAAAGCTTCGATGTTTTTCTTTCTTTTTTCCTTCTTCTTTGGGACAATGTGCATTAAAGTAAATTGATGCCTCTTAAGTAGATGAGTTGACCTTTAAGGAAACCAGCAAGTGTGACCTGTCTGTGAGTGCCTCTGCCTGTGTTTCCTGGTGAGTGTAAGAACTGCAGGGTATATTGCTCTGCTTTTATTAACTGTGTGTGTGTGTGTGTGTGTGTGTGTGTGTGTGTGTGTGTGTGTGTGTGTGTGTGTGTGTGTGTCTGTATGTGTGTGTGTGCTTTCATGTGTGTGTCAGGGTAGTAAGGGTATGCGCACGTGATTTGCTTCTAAATGTGTGTTACATTAGGTACCTCTGTCTTTATGTTTGGGAAACCACAACTGAACTAGCCACATACCACAGCTGCTTTTCCAAGCAGCCTTTTTAATCACGTTTCTTTTTTACCTGTAACATTAAATCCCCACGTGATGTATGTCTGGAAAAATGAATTGCATATATCCCATTTCCAACTCTAATGTTGAAAAGCCAATCAGTTGACCTACTGATTCCAAAAGCACTTGTCAGGTTTGATCAAAGCAAAGGCCTCTTTCCGATATAGGGTGCCATTAAAAAAAAAAAAAGACCCTGTCGCCACCTGTCTATAAGTCAAAGGATATGGTTGGAGATATTCTATTATTTTTGTCATTGTCAACAAATGTAATGAATACAAATAAAGGTCCATCTTATCGTATCTTATCTTAATAATTGATCTTAGTATCCAACCACAGTTAAAGAAAGAGAATAAATAGTTTTTTCCTGAGTCTGATAGTTGGCCTGTAGGAGGAGCTTTGACAATTAAAGTAAAGGAAGCTCTGACTCAGGACAGTGACAGCATGTTAGAGCTCATATTTCCTCACAAGCCTTATCCTAACAGATCATGTGGTAAATGCATTCTTCATTGGCTCAATTTAAGAGTTGTCTTGTATTTGGTTATATGCAATTTTTTGTATTAAAGAAACTGAGCAATGAGTTAAGTTCTGAGTACCAGTCAAAATTCAGAGACTGAAGAAAAACTGAGATGAGGGGAGACTATGATTCACTGAAAGCCACTCCATGAAAGCAGTCACTACAGCCCACTTCAGCTCCTCCAAACCATAATTCCCATAAACACAACTGAAACTTTATTGAGTGCAAAACCACTGGCTCCAAGTTTTTAGGAGCTACTATCTGAGGAGTTAGAGTTCCCTTTTCAAAGCCACAAGGGAGATATACGATCCCTTGCTCCTTTATTTTGTGCACAGCCGTCCACTCTCTCCTCATTCAGTGTGGGAAACGCTTTCCCATGGTGAGATGTGTCCCCTGCCCACAGTCAGTCCTAATGGATGCCTTTAGCTAGCTTTCAATGAGAGAAAACAACAGGAGAGGCTGTGTTATACAACTGAAACAGATGGTACTAATAGAGTCCTGTCGGTCCAGTTAGCCTGGTTACTGACTGACCCTAGTCAAGGTAATGAAAGGACACTGCTGACATGTCACATGTCACCCCGTTGTCTTTGTTGTGTCTTGGTGGTGAACACACAGTGCTGTGGTTGTACCTAATGAGACAGACCCTAAACTTAAGAACAAAAGAGACCATGGAAGCTATTGCTGTTTCTCACAGTTCATAATATATGTAGGCACCTCTGTCGAAGCACAACATGCTTGCTTTGCTTTCTTCTGAAGGCGCCCTGGGAATAGTTCCCCTGCAAAGCCAAACTTTGGCATTGCAAACATAAAAAGAAATGTCTGCTAGTTTTAAAGTCTGTCTAATGATAGCTTTGGCTTTTTGAGCTGTGCTTTTTATTATCTTAGCGATAAGGTTAAGCCCGAACACACATGCCGCAGTGAGTTGCCTGCAGCTTTGGCAGCTCTAATGAGACAAATAAATGAATTTAGTGTTGCCACATACAGCTCCTAAACGCTTATTATCAGGATTATTGTAGAACTGTTATGAATCAGAGAGGGGAAAAGAAGATGCAGGATTGGAAGGGGACATGATTGGCTGATGTTACATATGTCCTTGATTACCTTCCTTCTGCTTTTATTCTAATAAGTGGCATTCTTTGTACTCCCTAGGACAGCTAGACAGTCTGACACACGATGAGAATAAATATTGCATGTGGTAGACATTAAGCTGTCATCCTGGAAAGAAAAAAAAGAAGAGATGGAGAAATCCGTGTGGTGTTCTTCGGCGCTACACTTTGCCTGCTCTTGTCACAATTGTCACATCTTGATGACTCCCCCCACTCTACCCCAGCCCCCTTATTTTCTCTCGCCCAGTCAACTGCCTTGAATGACAGCATGGATACCCCATATAGAGAATTATTTTGGGTGATGTACAATGTACCATAGCTTTGATA